CTCGTTGGAATAACTATCAGTCAATACAAGATAATCCTAGAAATCATGATTGCCCATTTCCTGAAATAAGAAAAAACACAGACACATATCTCGCACACACACACACACACACACACACACAATCTATTTCACTTGCACAAATATTTGCATAGGCCTACATACGCACATGCACATTTTTCTTATCATTTAAAAAAAAAAAAAAAAAAATCAGTATCACCTCATGCAAGGCAATAAAGCCATGAAGGGTGTGGAAGAATTGGGAACAGAAACATTAATAAATGAGTGGAAAGAGAAAAAAAGAGTGGAAAAGTAATCAGGAGGACAGTAGATAGCAATTGACATTGCACTTGAATTTTTGAAGATTAAAGTTGGCTGGAAAGCATGGAGCCAAAAGTGAGTTCCACAAGCAAGCAAATAAAACTGTTAAGATAGAATTTACAGTTACATCTAGATTTTAATAATTATACATTTTTTTTCTGAGGCATGATTCTGGCGAGGAAAAAAAAGTATATTTATTAATATATAATTTATAGCTCTGTTATATTACATTGAGCACTATTTTATCAAAATGTGATAGAGTAATGAGAGGCGTATCTCTATTTCATCTGTGGGAAAGGATTATAGGGTAAAATATCAGAGATAGAGCATATGTAAATATAAAGATGGACATTGAGGTCAACAAATAGCAGTGACCACCCTGAGGAATCAAAATATTTCCACCCCTCCCTACTCTGTAAACATCTTCAGCGTCATAAAGACGCCAGTGCAAGGGAGAAAACTAATACAAAAACATAACATAAAAAGACAAAATACAGATCCACTTGGTATATTGTATAATAAGATCAAGATCATCAGGTGCATACTCATTTCTTTCTGGGTCCCAACCAGAGACCTAAGGTCAGAAATGGCAAGACATTTTTCACCGAGCAGATTTGAAAAAAAAAAAAAAAAAAAAAAAAAAAAAAAAATGCACGTATTTTACATAGATAAAGCCCTTTGTAAGGTTTGGTTTTTGGTTTACGGCATATCAATCTCAATGGGTCATTTAATGCCAACAACTTTTTTTTCCTGATAATATTTTTTGTTTTGTCAAAAATCTATTTCTGGTAATATTTTTTTCTTCAAAATTGTATAGCTGGTAATATTTTTTTTAAAAAACATATTGCTGGTAATATTTTATTTTTCAAAAACATTGCTAGTAATATTTTTTTCTTCAAAAATGTATTTCTGGTAATAATTTTTTTTACAAAGTATTTCTGGTATTAAAACCTATTTTTACACTTTCATAATGCTTTTTACCTCAGTTTTGGGGTTAAGTATTTACCCATAGCTGGGACCCTAACAGGTGCTACTACCCAGGGTCAGGGTGGACCTGGGAACACCAGCAATTAAGAGGTGGTTCCACACTCCTCAAAGCCTCCTGATCAGAGGCCTTGCTGTTGGATGTAGTTTATAGTCTTATCCTGGATGCGGATGTAGTTTATTGTCATACCCAGGACGACCTTTGTAAGGTGTGGGCTGTACTTGCAAGTACAATTTTTTATATTTCTTTAAGGAAGGGCTACCAGGGATTCCTTCAATGAATCTATCGGAATCTTTTCCAATCAATCCGAGGGCTCCAACTACAACTGGAATTGTTAATGCCCTCATGTGCTACATTTTTGAGATTTTGATTTCAAGATCTTTGTATTTTGATAGTTTTTTTGAAAATTTTCAAAGATACATTGCAGTCTGTAGGGACTTCCATATCAATAAGGAGGCTCATTTTGTCTTTGCAGCCTGTAATCATGATATCAGGGCAATTAGCTTTGATTGTTCCGTATGCATTGTAAAGTCCCATAAAATTATTACAGATCCTATCTCCATAAATGGATCTGGGTGGTGTTCATACCAATTTCTTGCAGTTTCCTTTCCATAAATGTTGCAGATTTTCCAGTGAAGATATTGGCCCACTCTGTCGTGTTGGGTCTTATATTCAGTGGGTGCCAAATCCGCGCAACCTGATACAAGACGGTCAATTGTTTCTGGACATTTATCACAGAATCTGCATTTTGGACAAACACAATTTTTCAGTATGTGTGCTTGGTAATTTCTAGTTAGCAAGCATTAGTCCTGTGCAGCAAGAATAAAACCTTCAGTTTCAGCTTTTAACCCTGCACTACGTAACCACTGATGTGTACGGGATTTGTCTACATCAGCTTGTTTGGTACGAGCAGAGTATTGATCGTGAAGCAGTTTATCTTGCCATCATTTCTGCATCTGTTTGCATTTACCTTTTTAAGTATTTTGCAGCTTTAATCAGTGTATTATGCTTTACTTGTATTTCTTCACCTACTTGAAACTCCATTTTGAACTTGTTGGCTTCCTTTATTACTGAATAAAGCCACTTACTACTTTTATGTTCTTTGTCAGAGATAATCATCCAGTCTTTTGTAGTTTCTAAGTATCTTTGAAGGCCAATTGTTGTAGTTTTGTAAGACAGTTGTAGTTGAACTAATCC